GTATAATTCTCTAATTTAATATCGTCCAATTTGGTTATTTATTTATTTAATTAATAGATTCACCATGTCTCGAGAATGGAATGTTGTCGAAGATAAGCTAGCTTGTAGGGTTTTTGATACGCAAAAAGAAGCCCCATGAAACAGGGAAAGACGTACAAAAATTTAAGGCCCATGCCATCCTATGACTAAAACCTTGGAGACCATACCTACAACCTACATAATTGTTCATGCATGACAAATTGCATTCTCTGAGTCCATCATATAACTTAATAAAAAAAGTGTCCAGAAATTAAAATAAAGAATCGTATAAATTTAAATTTCATTCAGCACTGTTGCTGTTAATTGTTAAACATCAGATTCCTTAACATCGTTGAGAAACAACCATGCTTCTTGCTTGAGCTTTAGCATGGTTGCTAGCTCCCAAAGGTAATAAAGAATAAACAAATTTAACAAAAAAATAAAATAAAATAATTACAATTACAAATTATAATGTCAATATTCTTCAATTTATAGTTGAATTCAGCTACCTTGGGAAACCATGATGATCAAGAACTAAATTGGTCTTTGCTTTTCAGTGTCATCGGCGTAACAGAAGCGGTAGCTGCTGCAAAACTAATAACGTGGCCTGGGAAAGCCGCTTGCGTTGCATGGCCTCCACCGGCAACGTCCATTTCAAACGTGAACCGTCCACTGCCGCGTCCTGGAATATGAGTGCATGGATTGCCCCCGGTCGGAGGCGCCTTGCCCCGAAGCGATTGAACGTGAAGAGAATCATTTTCCGTCCAGTGATCTCCCTCTAATGGCCTCATAGCCAAAACTTCATGCAAACCAGATACGCATAACAATATTGTGAAAACCAATGCAGCATTTTGGTACTTTTCCCGAAGAAAGTAGGCCATTTTTGTATACATATAAACAAGCGGGAGGGTTTGGTATATATAGAGATGCAAAATTGTGAAGTTATTAGTAATTAACTAGGGTTTAATTGGAGTTTAGTGTGTGTAATTGTCTGATTAATTTGACTTGGAGCCGCGGTGTTTGAAGTTTGAATTAAAGAGGGTCTGAATCAAGGACATGGACCCTCTTGAACCGGTCCATATTTTTTACTTCAGTATATGAATAAAAGTAGTTTAAGATGGACAATTTGCATGGGGGTCAACTTCATATATGTTTGACCTTCTAAACTAGCATCCATTGAGATGCAGGAATTGGCCTTGGGTGGAGGCCCTGTGGAAAATGAAAAATAAAAAGAGTTCAGAATGAGTCAATACTGATTTTTTTTTTTGGAAAACTTTTCAATCCCAAAAAGATGAAAAAGAATAAAAATTTGAATCATTGCACCTTGACATGTATGCATATATTAATTTTTATTTTTACAGTTTTAGACGTTTAGTTAAATACTAGTGAGGGTACTTCTGCTGTAATGCGGATTTTAAAACCCTATAAACATGTAGAAAGTTCTAAATATATATATTAGGGTTGAGTAGGTTTAATTTCGGCGTGTAAGTTCACTAAAATTGCATACAAACTAGGTATAGACGTTCATACGATGAGTAAAGACTCTGTATCAGCAAATTAAAAGCAAAAGAAAAGAATAAGTCAAAGTCGTTGCCATATGAAAACTTCCATCCACGCACCAAGCTTTGCTGCTTTTCTGTCTGACCAACAGCTTATATATATATTAGCTCCCTTTGTATTTGACTTAAACAGGGAGCAACCCTTTCTCATTCAATTTGAGCTCCAGTATCAGAATGTTATGAAAAAGATAAAAGGTTTTTTTGGCAATGTCCTTGGACAGAATTTTGAACCTAGTCGTGTGGTAGTGGTTCAATGAACGATGTCTAACCAGAATTCAACTGTCTTTAAAAGGTTCTAACACTTGATCCTTAGAATTTGGATGTTTCTCTCGAAGACAACAGACGTAATGAATGCTTCTGAAATTCTAGTATCTAAACTATCTAGACACTTCCAAAGGTTGCAACCTACTATATGAGTTGCAATTGTTCTAATTTAGATCTTAATTCAGGTAACTTTCCAAAAATAATTTAGTTAGTTAAACCGCGTTCAGGCAGACTGAGACCGCTCGTTGCCTTAAGACGACTCGTCTGAAATCTGAGCTTTTCAGATTGTGCTTCCTCGACAACATAGACCGCACCACGACTGGCTGGTGTGCCTAATCAAAAGAACTAAGCAGAATAGTTTCTAAGTTCTAACTATACTAGAAAACTCCAACAAAATCAAACCCTAGTATTTCATAAAATCTATAGGGTTAACTCAAGCACTGAACTTACTAAAGGCATACAAATTCTATAGGGCTATGTGTGAACACGGAAAATTCATGAAAGGAAAGAGACAAGAACAACATGCACAAAATAATATTTGTGTTTGATGATTTTGGGTTACAATCTCTCTCAAATTTGATCCTCTGATTCGATCTCCGTAAAGTGTTGATTTGTGGATGTTTCGTTGATCCAAGGGCCGTCGAGGCTTGATTTTGGATGAACTATTGGAAGTTTCTTCAAGGGCCGTGGGCTTGATCTTTGAAGGTGGATTTGAGCGAATCTTCAAGGAGTCGTTGGGGCTTGATCTTGAGGATGAGTGTTTCTTCAAGGGCTGTTGAGGCTTAATCTTGAATAACGGTGATGAGCGGATCTTCAAAGGCTTTTGGGCTTGATCTTGAAGAACAGTGATGAACGGATCTTCAAGGGCTTTTGGGCTTGATCTTGAAGAACGGTTGGATGTATGGATTTGTCGACGTTTGTTGATCCAAAAGGCCGTTGGGGCTTGATCTTAGGATGAACGGATGATGAACGATGGTGCTTTCTTCAAGGGTCGTCGGGGCTTGATCTTGAATTGGTGGAAGTTCTTCAAGGGCCTTTGGGGCTTGAAGAACACTTTCTTCGAGGGCCGTCGGGGCTTGATCTTGAAGAATAATGATGAACGGATCTTCGAGGGCTTTTGGGCTTGATCTTGAAGATGGATGATTGTTGATCCAAGGGCCGTCGGGGCTTGATCTTGGGATGAACAATTGTGTGGATTTATTGATGTTGTTGATCCAAAGGGCCGTTGGAGCTTGATATTAGGATGAACAGTTGTGTGGATTTGTTGATGTTGTTGATCCAAAGGGCCGTTGGGGCTTAATCTTAGGATGAACAGTTATGTGGATTTGGTGATGTTGTTGATCCAAAGGGCCGTTGGGGCTTGATCTTAGGATGAACAATTGTGTGGATTTGTTGATGTTGTTGATCCAAAGGGCCGTTGGGGCTTGATCTTAGGATGAACAGTTATGTGGATTTGGTGATGTTGTTGATCCAAAAGGGCTGTCGGGGCTTGATCTTAGGATGAACAGTTGTGTGGATTTGTTGAACACTTTCTTCAAGGGCCGTCGAGGCTTGATCTTGAATTGGTGGAAGTTCTTCAAGGGCCGTTGGGGCTTGATCTTGAAGGAGGAATTTCTTCAAGGGCCGTTGGGGCTTGATCTTGAAGGAGGATTTGACGAAGAACGAAGAGGGCTTTCTTGATCCTTCGGGATTTGCTTGAATTTGGGAGGTTGGATGCTTGAAAGCTTTAGAGTTTCAAAGCTTCAAGGATTTTGGATGTGTGGGGAGTATTCTCTTCCATTTTGGGAGTAGAGAAATGTATTTTTTGTGAATTGGTTCATGATACCTTGATGTAGAAGCCTATTTATAGGCTTTGAGAATGAATCACCACCACAAAATATTTTTTTCTTTTCCAAGCACCATTGCCTAATTTCCCACTTAATACAATTTTAAACTTGAAGTGGTAATTTTATGGCCTAATTTTCCACTTAATATCATTTTAAACTTGATATGTGCATGCTTTGTCATTGCCCAAAATGAGAAGAAAACCTTGTTTTGATCTTCAATGGATTGAAATGTGCTTGCCTTGTCATTGCCCAAAATGAGAAGAAAAACTTGTGTAATCCTCCAAGGGTATTTCTTTTTATTTTGTTGAGTCACACACCATGTGTACAATTTGTATGACACGTGGCATATGCCATGTATGCCTTGACACGTCAAAATTTTAATGCGTTGGTGAACATTTATTTCACCACAATTTCGATGTCTACACTATGTATCTTCCTTTCGATAAATTTCCTGGCATGATATATGTTCATTAAAACCATGGGATGTTCTCTTACCTTCACTTCCTCCTCAAATTCACTGGGACGCGTCCCACAAAGCCACAGACGTCGGACAGGATCAATAACCATTTCTCTGGTGTAACAGCATTCTTTATAAAGTACATGACATGATCAGAAACATATGGACGAGCACAGTACCCGTAGTATTTCTACTACCTTGAGGTATTGATGAGGGCATTTGGCAACTTTCTTCAACATTTCTGTAATTTCCAATGTCCAGGATCATTTCGGATTTTTGATCTCCTTTTTACTAGTTCTTTGCTTCTTTTTAGTACTAACTCTTAAATTTTGGTTAGTTAAAACATGTCTTGTTCGGTTAAAAAACTTATGATAAACTACTTAAAAAGTACATTAGACTCACTAATTGCAAGATTTGAGAATTCAACGTGGTTAATCATGTCCATAAAAAAAAACATAGACAATCTCATTGCTACCCTATCAAAAATATTAATCCATTGCTTGATCATGTCCAAAATCAAAGGTACTACGTAATGAGAAAATATTGCTTAAAGTTAACAACATTTTCAATTGATTTCCTTCAAATTCTACAGTTTCTAGGAAGAACTTAACGAAGTTAAGCTTTCATTAGAGTGATATGACAAATTAATCATGAACTTATTAACGGAGTAATAGGTGCCAAAGTACCCAAAATAACACTAAACAGAAGTCATGACCTATTTTGAATGGAAAACTTAACGGAATTAAAATAAGATAACAAATTAATGATTTCAAAAAGTTAATATAACAAATCACTTAAAATTTTATTTCATATGTCAAATTGAAAAAGTTTTTAAGTTCATAAGACAATTTTTTTTTTTTAAATTCCAAATGTAAATTAAAGGAAAACGCACCCAAACTACTTCAAAAATCAAAATGGAAGTTACAAGAAATACAAAACCATCCCTTTTCGTCACAAGATGAAGACTGATCAAAATTAGAAGATACACAAATCTTATACTGTTACAAACATAAATAGAAGGCTTCATCTGCCCCCTGCCGGAGTCGTCTTTTCCTCGTACTTCTTTCCCGATTTGACCTCAATCCGAACAATGTCAACTGATGTTCGTAAGCAAAATCATTCCACATTTTTTCAAAAACATCCTTCTGTTCATTTTTCTGCGACTAAATAAGCTGTCAGATATTCTTTTGCACATCTCTTTGTTGGAATTCAACTAGATACTATGTTTAATAGCATATTCAGGAAACTCCGACTTCAAGAGAAAGTGAAACTGCAAAAATTCAACAGATATTTGTAGTTTCTCCGACTTCAAGGATTCAAATAAGACTCCCAACCATCTCTCTGTAGTTTCTCTGCCTTTGTCAAAACTTCGTCCCGTGTGTCTTCTTGATATTGGGTCATTCTGCACTCGAGTTCAATTACCTCGTTAGAAAATGCAGGCAACCGAATACAAAAAATTTAAACCAAGACGTAATCAAGTGAAAGAACCCTACCTTGATACTAGATCAGCATCACAAACACCCAATATCCGAACTGCCAGCAAACCAGCATTGGTGGCATTGTTTACAGCTACTGTTGCAACTGGGACCCCTCTCGGCATCTGCATAATGTACACAGATACAAAATAACTTTCCTGACAAGTCATAAAAACTCACTAGTACCAACAATAGAACCAAACCCACATACTATTCTTGTCAAACAGTATAGAAAATTGCAGCAATGAAAAGAAAAATGGAACAAAGCATAAGTTTATAGGGAAAAAAGCAGAACAATCTGAAATAATATGTACCTGCACAATGGATAAAAGAGAATCGATTCCATCCAATGTAGAAGCGCGCACAGGGACACCAATAACGGGCAAAGGAGTGAGGGCAGCTACCATGCCTGCAAAACTCAAGCGGCAGTTCAGTTAACCCCATATAATGTATACTGCACCAGACGAATTTGTTTGAAGCATAGTTTATATGACTCGCCTGGCAAGTGAGCTGCCCCACCAGCACCAGCAATGATGACCTGAATGCCTCTCTCCCGAGCAGACAAGGCATAAGAATACATCAATTCAGGAGTTCGATGTGCTGAAACTATTCTCACCTGGAAATTATATCACATTAACATCATATAGTAATAAAAGGCATAGCTCACAACTAACGGGTGATCAATTGACAGTGAACAGTAACATGTGAAAAGCAAACCTCATTAGGTACTCCAAACATATTCAAAATCTTTGCAGCATCTTTCATAATAGGAAGATCTGAATCAGAGCCCATTACGATACCAACACGCGGTGTGACTGCATTTGTTAAAAAGCAAAATGAAGGTGATTTGAAGATAAAAAAAGTTTATTCTGATTAAAAAATTGCTAAGACCATTAAAGTACAATGAAATGAAAATGGATCCTATGCAGTTTGGTTTATGAAGGGGTGCAGCTACAGGCACAAGGAAAGGAAGGGAATCACCACAAGATATAAAAGGTTAATATTGTTGATAGCATGGTTGACTTGCCTTTCTTTCCCCAGACTTATTAACAAAATTCAACCATTTTCATTCCCCTTGCACTCTTCCAATTTTACAGTAAATTTTCCACAACAATGATTAGTAATTTATGAAATTTACTAGTACATGTAATAATGAAGCCAGCTAAGGTTAATACGTATAACCATATAACGACATAGGACCTGCAACCTCAGAATAATCATGTGAAACCACCCTACTACAACTACCTGCAGACTGACAATCGAATCTTTCTTCATTTAGCATCGACTCTAGAAGCTTTTCTACATTGCCCAGGGAAGGTCCAACAATGGTGATATGACCCATCTTCCGCTGCTTCCGCATTTCTGCCATATCATAAAAATAGGTGATTCTTGAGTATGAGTATGACTCAGAAATAAGCAAGACGTTGTAATATGAACATAAGCAGAATCTAACCTGGCTTATCATACCAATGAACAGTGGCCCCTGGAATACGCAATGCCCTTCCAATCAGCTGCTGAGCTAGAAGGAAACCAGATTCCCCCTGAAAACATAAAGGAGGCATGACAGCCACGAGCATTTGATTAAGTGATTTATCTTCCACGAGCATAGTGAAAACTATACTTTTTTTAGAACTAAAATCAGAAGATAAATGCTGACAGATGGTGATCACCACAGTAATGAATTGAATCTGACCTCATCTTCACCAAGTAAATTGTACATAATCGCAGCTGGAGTTTTCATCGATGGATCACCAAGTGGAAGACCAACAACAGCCCTCAAATGCTGTTCATACTGTGAAGTGTAGCAAGACTCTATTGTGTGATGACCACTATTGTGAGGTCTAGGAGCTACTTCATTTAGCAAAATCTGACAAGAAGTAAGTACATTCTTAACTTAGTTAAATGCAGCAGACTTTTAAAAGAGAACTAAAATACGTCAACCAATTGATCACGAATAAATAACCATAACAAAAAGTTGTTAAAAGAGGTAGAATTGTTACCTGATCATCCTTTGTTAAGAACAACTCAACTGCAAAGACACCAGCACCTTCTAATGAACGAACAGCTCTGGTTGCAATATCAGTGGCCAGCTTTCTGATCTTCCATGACATGTTAGCAGGTGCCTTTACAATGTGACAAATGTTTTCCCTGCAGAAATGATCCCCAAACATGCATGAACTCATCTGGCTTTATGTGGATATTATCGCCTAAATAAACAGATATGAGCAAATTAAGATCAAAGATTGGCTGGTGACAGACAATTCAAAACTCAATCTGCAGCTTACTTGTGTATTGTTTCAACAACAGGGTAGCACGCGATAGAATTGTCTCTTCCTCTTGCGACAATAACAGCCAGCTCCTACAGTTACATTGCCAAAAATGTAAGGGAAGTTTCTTTCTTATGAACTCACTCAGAATCATTTGTGTTTTGTTGGGGATTAATATGTGGTAATGTAAATCATCAAACAATGCTCATTAGTAACATCTAGAGACCAACCTTTACAAATGGGGCCCATTTCTCAACATACAAACCACGATCAAACCCTCCAAGAGCTGCAACAAATTTCGAACTATAAAAACCGCATAGCCTTTACTAGTTGAATCAACATCAATCACAATCCGTTTTGATGAACATATTACCAGTCACAGCAGATGAAAGCTCATCCTCACTCTTAGCAACAGCATTTCCACGTCCATCGTAAGCTAACCTTTTACTTTTTATCATAAGAGGATAGCCAAAGAGGTCCCCTGCTCTCTTGGCACCTTCAAGATCATCTATCTGCCTTAGCCACATTTTACAGTAAATAATATATAATCTTGCGCTCTCTAATAGAAAGCAAATTTACAAATATCACTTATGCTAATACTTCAATCAGATGGAGAAATGAGTAACAAACCTGCATGAATTCAGGAAGGGGAATATCATGCTTTGAAAAATGAACCTTTTGGAGATACTTATCCTGTTACATTCAAAACACGAGCCAATGCTTAACACACTACAAAAGAACAATGCAGTGATACATGGAATGTCGCAACACATCAATACAAGGGTAAAATTTTATGCCTAAAATGTGAATGTTCCTTGGGACGAATGAAATACATAAAACAATCTGTCCAAATGGATGAATGTTTGTAACATACTAACTTTCACATGCATTGACGGGGTAATAAAAAATAAAAAGCAATCTCGAAAGGAATACACAAACCTGAATTATTCTGATCGTAGAGGCTTTGGGTTGGCAATCCACTCCTTGCTGCTCAAGCTTCTCCAAAGTCTCCACATCCACATGCTCAATTTCCACAGTCAGCACTCCACACCTAACTACCACTATTACGATTACCCTCCATACATAATATTTCCAACTACACAAAACAGCAAAACATAAAATTGGATTACAAGAACATAAAATCTTCACCTCTTCGCGAATTCCTGGACCGTTGCGCTATCATCGAAGCTTCCAACCATATGATGATGGGCAATCTCACTAGCTGGGCAGTTCTCTTGTGGGTCCAGTACCATCACTTTAATCGCCATTTGCGAAGCTGCTTGGCAGAGCATCCGACCCAGTTGGCCTCCTCCAAGAACACCAACAATCACATCAGCAACTCCATGAACGGCTGCATCATCTCTCCTGCACAACAAATATGCAAATTCTACACATATATTCGAACTCTCTTCCACTTTACTTAAAAATCGTTGCTTTACATAACTTGAAACGAATTCCGGGAAACGACCATTTACCCAGAAGTCAGTTGAGGGTCACGTGACGCTCGGCAGGCGAGGACTGGATTGCGCTTCGTTTGGAACTGCTGCTTGAGCGAGAGAGAAGAAGAAGCAGAAGTGAGAAGCAGCTTGTGCTTTTCCATGGAGCAGGAGAATGCGGTTTTGGTTTTCGGCGAGGCCAAACACGGCCTGAACTCGAAATCCGGCGACGCGAAGAGGGAGTCACAGCAGCTAGAGCTCTGCTGAAGCATTTTAGAGGGAGTAAACTACCCTTCTCTCCTTCTACCTCTATCTCTACTTGTCCCTGTCAAAGAAAGATTATACAGATTTCATGACCAAAATCAAAAGGGAAGAAGATAGGAGATTTTGGATTTCAGTTTTGATCTTACGTCGGTTGGCGACGACCAAAATCAAGGGGAGCCGGCTGGTTGTGACATGGGAGGTGGCTGGTGGTTACAGGAAAGGCGGCGGCGGTGATGGGTTAAAGGGTGGGGAAGATGGATTGGGTCACGATAGAAAATGAAAATATGGGAAAGATAGAGATGGGATAGTAGACGATTTTAACAATTTCGATTCATGTAAATTAGTAAACGATTTTAATACATCAATGTCATTTTTATTTCGATTTCGATTTTAGACAATTTAAGTAAACAATTTCAATAGAAATCTGATTCTGATTCTACTTATTTCCAATTCTTCTTCAATTCAATTTCTTTTCAATTCAATTCCCCTCAATCTGATTACGGATTAATAAACGAGCTTTATGACTTTTACTCGAAAGATAATGTAACAATCAATTTAAAATTATATTTTGTAAATCAAATGACCGAAAGAATAATGATAGGAGATTGTTGATTTAAATTATATTTTATAAATTATATGACGTAGTTGTTTATATATTTTAAAAGCTGAAGGGCCTATACATACAAAGTCCCGTTTTCTAATACAGCCAAGCATTATCCATATTCAAAGAATTTAATTCCTCACCCTTTTAGTGTTTATTAAAAAAAAAAAAAGAATTTAATTGATTCTCGATGTGAATTTTGTCAATTTAGGTTGACTTCTATTGACTCCGAATAGACTAGAAATGAAAATTTTATATGAAGATGAATAAAAGTGTGACCTGAAGCCAACAAGGCTCCTAACTTTGCGAGAGTCGCAGGATGAACATCTATTATACACACTTTTACTCTTGTTGTACAAAGAGACTATTTTCAAGGCTTGAACCATAAACTTTTGGTCACAAAAGAGTAACTTTACTATTGCATCAAGACTCGCCCCGCTCTCTATATGAAGATGAAGATGAATATGAAAAAAAATAAACTATGAAATTGCACAAAACGAAATGACATCAATCTTTTTATTGATACTTCACAGTTTTACACACTAGAATCACCCGTTTTACATTTAAATCACTCATCCACTCCATATAAAACCAAAAAAAAAGGTGAAAAAAATTAAAAACCAAAAAACAAAACAAAGAAAAATAAAACAAACCCGCTCAAACTCTAATTAGTAAAAATAATAAAATTTAAAATGAAAAGCTCACCAAATCTACATATTTCCAAGGTAAAATGTGAAATATGTCAGACCCAAAACATGAGAAATGTTTTAGTGTGCCGGGGAACATGTCTAGTAAACCAAGTGTGAAAAAATATATATATATTTTTTTTAAATTTCCAACTAATTGTATTAGTATACTTGGTGCACCAAATTATTTCCGGCACACAGAAAAATCTATCCACAAAAGGTGGTGGAAGGGAGAAAAACGACCAACTGTATAGTATAAGGGAGGGACTCAACTCCTATCATATTCTTTTTGTCGACTGTGGAGGGAAAAAAAAGCTATATTACTGTACACCTGCTACGCCAAATCTTCGAGGGTAGTGATTTTCAAACTCCCGTTTTCTCAATTTGTGCTCCTCCCGTTTCTTTTGTCCCTCGATTGTTCTTTGATTTATTCACTCCAAAGACTAGACAAAACAGAGAAGAGTGAAAACTACTACTCGCCACCTGACATAGAACAATGTACATATTAGGGAAAAGGGAAAAACTTTCTAAATTTATTCGACACGAACATAACTGCAATACTTGTGTTATCCATGCATTATGTTTCTCGTGAGTCTGTAAATTGAAACGAAACAGCTGTTGACAGACCTAGCTATGTACTCGGAAGAGATATAAGATACGCTGGCAAGACTAGGACGTGCTTTTAAAATAGCTAAAAGCGTTTTTGATGAAAATGTTTTTGAAACCAATCCGTAAAAATGCAGGTGAATCCTGAAAAGGCACTCGAAGTACTTCCTTCAAGTGTTTTTGGAACCCAAAAACATATTCTTTAAAAGCGCTTTCAATCATTTTAAAAGCACTAAACGAGCACTATGATGTTTGAATAAGGAAATCACCTTTTGTTATGGCGTTGCAGACTCAAGCTGATGTTTGATCACTTCTTATCCCGATTTTTCGTAATTCCCCCAGGTAAGAAGCTATATCTTGAATGAACGTCAGTCCCTCCTCACCGTATCTAAGCGACTTAATCGTGTGTTCAAGAAACTCTCGGTCTGCCTCGAGTGTCTTCAACCTCTTAAGCACATTGGAACTCAGGACCCGGAGAGAAGCTAAATCTATCACTTGACAGAGATCTGCAGAGTTTGGCTCGCTGCTATGAATTTCACACTGTCCCTTGCCGTTTGACAGAGGGTTTTCAAGTGAATCAGTATGTCCCGACGATGATACAGACACTTCATGTTGCACTGGCAGGTCATTCTCTCGTTTTGCAACAGCTTCTTGGGAGCCTCCATTTTCAGAACAATCACCTTTGGACGAATCCGAGTTTATCCCATTGGTAGAGAACAAAGAAAGTGACTTCTCTAAAATCTCTAGATATTGTAAGATTTGTTTCTTCTCATCTTCGAAATCCAAAAGTGAAGTTTTTACACTACCACCGTCCTCATCACCAAAAGTAGTCGCGGCTCCTTCAACTTTGCTGTGTGTACGAGGCTTTCCATTATCCACGTGTTTATGTACACTTGAACTGTGTTCCATGTTGCTTGATTCGGAATGATCAATCCCAATATCCCTTGCCTGGATATCACCAGTTGTCTCTGCTATATTAGCGAGCATCGATTCATTGGGATACTTATTCCTATACAATTCCAGCTCCTCTTCTAGATCTTGTATCTCCTTCTCTTTCTCGACAAGAAGGTCTTCTGTCTTTTGCAGCGCTTCGTTATCATACTCGGCTTGCTCTTCTATCATTCTTAGCTGCTGGAGTGCTTCCATATGGAGCGCTGCTTTCTCCTCTTGCAATCTCGTAATCATGGCCATTGCTTGATCTGAAGCAATTGCAGAAGCATTTCTTTCTTCCTCCAACTCCTTATACAAAGCGCTCATAATTTTCTTATCATGCTCAACCTGCCGCTTTAATCGATCAAACATACTCTCACCCTCAATTTCACTGACAATGCTCCCGTCCAGAGACAGCCCAGACTCATTTCTTTCAAGTGAGATCCTCTTGTTAAGTATCTGCATTCCAAAAGAATTGGAAATATCGGAAGCTTTCAAATCACCACTATTTGCAGACAATCTCGGACTCATTACTCTTCCACTATTTGCAGACAATCTCGGACTCATTGTGCTTGTTGATTGCTCAAGCCCTCGATTAGCAGATAATTGTGACAGCAAGACCTTCAAATCTTCACTAACTTTTGAAGAGTCCTTCCCAATCCATTTTTCTGCAACCCCACCAGACAAATGCTTTCCTTTACTAACAACAACAAGCTTATAAGCATCACCAAGATCTAGAACATTGGTTACTTGCTCATCAGCATTGCTTGAAACGGGGTTTGTTTCCACACCTGTTTCAGATGTTGTAAGTGGCCCGACTTCTCCCTTGTACAATTCCCCAGATTCCACCACAGATGTTTGATCAATTTCACAAGTTCCAGTAACGTCAACTGAGAGAAACCACCACAGACAAGAATGATGATTGTGAAGTTAATTTACTGCAGTAAACAATGGGAGCTTAATGCAGAAGCATGTCATACAAGAAGCAATAATATGTTGAATTCAGAGAGGATAAAATTAGTGAAATCAAGACAATAGGAAATTGAAAAAAGTTCAAACTCACTTCTTTGTTTTGATACTTCAATTGGGGGTTTTATTGCACTTGATGATGGAGGTGGATTGTCAACAACGGGTCCAGTTGACGCAGGGCCATCAGCCTTGCTCTCAACTTGTTGCCAGTTAAGTTCCTCCAGTCCATGGGAAATAGCTACAGTAGATGCCACAGATGTACTACCGTGGGACATAAGATCAACTTGTACCTCTGACACCAAAACTGGAGGCTCAGGAACAGATGTTGGATCTCTCGGAGCTGGAGTAATAACGCGAGGCTCAACATATTGAGCAGATAAATCTTTCTTGCGATCGTGGCTTTCATGAATCAAAGCACTCCCATCATCATCATCGTCAGAATAATGAACTTCCGATTCAGTATCAGAATTAACCTTGAGCTCGGTATATCCAACATGAGATAAAGGGTGTAGCCCGCTGTCTCGAATATGAGTGGTTCTCACTGACATAGATGGTTCATCTTGTTTCCTCAGTTCTTTATGATTACGTTCAATAACATGAGAGGCGGGCACATCAAGTTCAGCCTCAGATTCTAAAATCTTTTTCTGAATCAACTTTTGAGAATCCCCCTGAGAAATCCACGGCTGATTGCAACAAGAACAAAATGTTCTGCTCGAAGAGCAAGGATTATGACCCCCAAGTAATGGATCCTGATCGAAATCAAATTTAGGATCATCCCCCAACTTACCCACCAGTAATCTGTATGTCTCAGCATTGGATCTATTAATTGTTGCAAATGAGAAGAGGCAACTCTCACACATTCCATGAACATCTACAAGCTTATTGTGAGCGCGGCAAAGAACTAACGAAGAAATCTCTGACTTATGATTGCCGCAGAACAGGTCCCAATAATAACCACGTTTTTCCTTGCCCAAAACATGATCAATTCTTGAACACAGCAGGCAAGGCGCTCGCAATCCACAGTAATAAGCAAACTTCGTAATTATGTATGAGAATATGGCGTCAACAAACAGCACAAAAATTAGCAGCCATTCAAAAAAAGCGTATACCAAAGCTTTAGACCAATCCTGGGGGGCTTTCCGCGACAATGCAGATGAAGTCCCCGAGGCAGCCATGTGCTCGAAGAGGAAACACTCCAGTCCTTCAAATGTGAATCAGTAATCCAAGGTGAAATTCAGTAACGTTTCTCGCAGCAGACAAGGAAGATAAGGGAGATTCAGAACAATCAACGAAACAGCTAACTTAACACCGGAATCTAGGCCTGCATTACAACTTCCGTTAGCTGAGAGAGCACCACAGAACAATCTAAACATAACAAAATGATCCCTAAATTTACATTGATCGAAAATAGTTCTGAAAAGGAAACATCTTAACCCGAAAACAGAAAAGGCAAGTAAGTGACATGCATAGACAAAACATTCCTCTATGAAACACAACCTCATTTCTCACAGAAAACCCCCTTTCTCATCGAAAACCAGACAGCGAAAGAATCGATCAAATGCAGATTAAACCAATGCTAATGACCCCAAATCTTATTTCTTAACAGGATCAAACCCCACATAATCCAAAGCTTAAATTTCCATCAAAACCAGAAACTTTTGAGGGTCAACGCCTTAAAAAGCACAAATTCATATCAACAGACAGTAACCAATTAATCCCAGAAGATCAAACAAAAAAATCTGAAACAACCAATATCCAAAATTGCAGATACAATTTTACCAAAAGCAAAGATTCTAAGAAATAAAACAAAAAAACAAAAAAATTTAGAAATTAAATTTCAACACTTGAAACACCAATACCCCATCAGAAGGTTTAATGGCCTGATTCAATCTAATTAAGCAGACTTGACTTTACACAACAGAAACAAGATTATTTAACCGAAACCCAATTCAATCAGCAACAAAAATTTCAGATCATATCATTTACAATTCGAAAAGTTGACTAAAATGATCAGAAATCAAATCGCAATTAGTCTGATCAAAATCAAATAATATAAAGATTAAATATTTACGACATGAGGATCAAATAACGACAACATATCAATGTAGCAAATGGGATCAGATAACTACGAAATTAGAAACTGACCTGTTCATGTGGTGGAACCAAAGAAAGAAGTGGAATGAGTGAATTTTTCAGAACTAATGACAAAAACAAAACCAACAAACGAGTAAATGGGTTTCGTGAGAGAGTTTCCGAGAGACAGACAGCAACGAAAGGCCAACCGAAAGATTGAAGCTTTACAACAACATACGACGCACGTTGCCGTCCCACATTGTTAGAATTCAAAAGTCGGCTGACAGACGCCAAAAAGTCGGCTGCACATAAAGCAGAAAACGACACGGTACCGAAAGTGCCCACTATAAAAAGAAAAAAAAAGATTGGATGGGCTGTTGGATCAACAGCGAGGATTTTCCCACCAAAAAAAAATACGAACAGCAAAGATTCCCAGGAAAAAAAAAATTTCTTAAAAGAGAAGAAAACGTGGATTAGAGAAGATGAGCAACGCTACTCTTATTACATTAAAGTTCTTTTTTTTTTTAATTATATTTGTATCAGTTTTTAAATAGAGATGGATCCATCAACATATGTTGTATAAAAAATGTAATAAGAGTAGCATTGTCAGAGAAAAATTGGAGGGGATAAAATCAGTAAATTGGAAAACCAGAATTGTAGCAAGAATTGAGGCCACGGATTGAAACTTTGTACTGTTGAAATGTTCCATCCACCTTATCAATGACAAAAGAAGAGTTTAAATAACCTAATTCCACTCCAATTAATACGGAAGTTTTTTGTGATAAAACCTCACACCTGACGGATTGTGCACTTAGTAATTACCAAGTTGGAGACAATATCGGTATTATTGGAAGTGAGCTATATGATCCGTCTCTCTGATAATTCTACATGGTATCAGAGCCATGAGCGGGCCTGTACCATACTACCACTTGATGGGTAGGTGTAACATCCCACATCGCCCAGGGGAGTGATCCTTAAATGTATATTCTCATCCCTACCTAGCACGAGGCCTTTTGGGAGTTCACTGGTTTCGGGTTCTGTAGGAACTCCGAAGTTAAGCAGGAAGGAGGCCAGAGCACTCCCAGGATAAGTGACCCATTGGGAAGTTGCTCGTGAGTTCCCAGAATCAAAACCGTGAGGGCGTGGTCGGGGCCTAAAGGGGACAATATCGTGCTACGGTGGTGGAGCGGGCCCGGGAAGTGATTCGTCCCGGGCCAGGATGTGACAAATGGTATCAGAGCCTAACTCTGGCCGTGGTGTGCCGACGAGAACATCGGGCCCTTAAGGGGGATGGATTGTAACATTCCACATCGTTCAGGGGGAGTGATCCTTAAATGTATATTCTCATCCCTACCTAGCACGATGCTTTTTGGGAGCTCATTGGCTTCGGGTTTCGTAGGAACTCCGAAGTTAAGCAAGTAGCGCGCGAGAGCACTCTCAGGATGGGTGATCCATTGGGAAGTTCTCGTGTGAGTTCCCAGAAACAAAACCGTGAGGCGTGGTGGGGACCCAAAACGGACAATATCGTGCTACGGTGGTGGAGTGGGCCTGAGAAGTGATCCGTCCCGAACCGGGATGTGACAAGTGGGTCCCCTTAGCCCCGCGCGATAATGGTGAGGAGCATGCTCGTACCGTACTGCCACTTGATGGTTGGGTCCCCTTAGCCTTGCGCGATGATGGTGGGTTCCTTGGTCCCGCGTATAGGGTGAGTTTCATTGGCTCCAAGTGGTTATCGATGTGTGGATCTCCCACGTGTGACCCATTAATTAGGTCCCATTTGAGGGGGCGTGTAGTATCAGAGCCAGGAGCGGGCCCGTACCGTACTGTCACTTGATGGGTAGGTATGATCCCTAAACTTAAATTTATGATCATTGGTCATTTAACTCCTTGAAACGTGCAGCTATGGTCTTTTTTGTCAGCTCCGTTAAAACTTCTGTCACAATGAGTTACGAGCCACTCACGTGAGGCTGAATCAAGAGACAAATATTGAAAATTAAATGAAAAAATTGTATAAATGATCCATCAACTTTAACCTAATGAGAGAAATTGTCTCTTAACCTTAACCCAATTGGAACAATAGTCCCTCAACTTTAACCTAGTTGTTGTTTGGACCCAAATTTACACCATTGGTCCGAGTGATAGAGACCGTTGAATGAGCAGAATTCTATATGGTCGGATGATTCTGAATATTAAGAGGCTGTAATTTTGCACGAACTCGGCCTGTATACTTTGAGTCATTCGATCAAAGAGGCCATATTTGATATTACCATTATGTTAGGAATATATTAAATTGGTAATTATCTTATAGTTGCAGCTCGAAGAGTCAAATAAATAAAAGAAGTTGCATTGTACAAGGACTGTACATTTGGTTCGCATCCTGATCAACACGGAAAAGTGATACTTATCGAAATCCAAGGATAAGGCGACATGGATAAATGGGAGATGTGATCAAGTTGAATATTTTTTGTGTGATTGCACGGTTCCAGCACGTGGAGGCCATTAAACGTTTGGATCAGGATTTACTTGCGTAAAATATTGAGATAATGGTGGGGATTTTTAATCAGGTTGGGTAATTGCATGCAGTTGGGTCTGATCCACGCCAGAATGCGTGAAGGATTCTAAATGGTATATGCTTTTGGACGGCGCCCGACGAATTATGCTTGCATGAAGATGAAGATGTTAAATTGGAGATGGATAGCCACGTGTGATTGGATTTGGTGGAGCCATGCATGCATATCATTATTTCAAGTCAAGATGCTTATTAGCACTAATTGGTATATGCTAATATGCTATTAATTAGCACAAGATGGTTTCGTGTTGGTAAGTGATAACAATCTTTTTATTTTGCATGAGATTGTTATGAAGGAGGACTTTGATGTTGGCGGCAGCTTTACAACGCGAGCTGTCAGGATGAGGATGATACTTATAAATACAAAGTCGCAGACAACGTTTAAGGATCTCCAATTCAACACACAACTGCCATGCGCAAACTCTCTCAACAACTGAGATTTTTATTTTCTCTTTTCGCTGACACATCTTCCGTTGGCATCAACAGCACTGTGAAAGCAACCGGTGATATCTTAAGTCGGCATAGATAGCTCTGTCACCGTAGAATCAGCCGATCTCGCAGCATCTTCCGTTAGCATCAACAGCACTGCGGCGAGGACGGTTGATTACCTATCCAAGTCTCGATCGAGAAAGATTTCTGAATCTTTATTGGTTGAGGTCATCTCATCAGCATTCTCGGCGAAGTGAGGTGTTACGAGTTACTACATTCGGCACATTGAAAGCTGAATTTGATATTGAACTTCGCTAAGTTAGCAGCCTTGTCTTCAGGCTCTAGAACCCGAAGGCCAAGACATGTTCCTTCCTTGGCCACAATCGCAAGATCAAGAAGTCAGCAGCGCACCCAACGCAACATTAACAAATTTTACTCCTCGGCCGAGCTCGGCTGACGAGTTGGCACGCCCCGCATACAATCGAATGACGTAGTTAACTTACTAATTACTCGGCCTGCGCACCACGTAGGTTTGGTAGTTTTTAGGGTCAACAGTTGCATAAATGATTTTTCAAACATGACTCATTTTTTTACAAAAGTCCTGATGGAGTCGACGAAAATGATCATAGATGAGGGACTATTACTCTAATTGGGTTAAAGTTGATGGATAACTATTACAATTTTCTCTTTTATGTTTTAGCTTTTAAGGGATTTTGAAGGAAGAATTTGAGTGTTATTTTTTTGGTACGAAATAGTTTTGTTAATACTTGTTGGGAATTGTTCTTTAAAGAAACATTTTGTTCACAAACTGTTTAGCTATAAGAAACATGTTGAAAATTTTAATAAATATCTAAAATTTCTCGAGAAAACACTTTTATAATCCAAAACAATTTCAGGGTTCATTTATAAATGTTTGTTTAAAACGTACAAAATGCAAATTCAAATGGTTTCAAGGGAGGATTTAGCGTGCAAATGAAAATGCCAAATTATAGTGAAACTATTGTACGCAGAAAAGGTGATATCGGAATGCATCCCAAAACCATAGGAAGGATTAGAAATGCCCTACATAATCATTACAAACGTAAATAAGATTAAGAGAGAAGCTGCATCTTGGAAAAATACTCATGTTTCTAGTGATGTATTCTCGCCTACAATGACATTATTACAAACCATTTGACATTTATATTCTTCGAACTTATCAAAATACAAAGATCAATGCTCCAATTTTTTAAGAAGTTTAAAGACCAATTTGATTTGAGACGGAAAAAAAGAGTAGTGCTATTCACATACTTATTTTTATCTGCTACATATTTTTTTTATTTATCAATTTCTATCTTTTGATCATGGTTAGTTTATTCGACTCGACGGTCAAAACTAAAAAAGTGTCTGAAAGGTAAAAATGAGTGTGCCGATTTATTTCACCGCCTGAAAAAAGTTATATTTTACACTAAGGGGAGGGGTAGTCGGCTAAGCCACACAACATGCAACCTAATTTGGTACCGAATTCGACATCCACAAGATTCGAATATAAAACCTCTTACTTACAAGTAAAGAGGAATACCAGTAGTGAATGGTGCGACACATGCACAAATTATCAGGCCATACATGTGATTCGATAGATCATATCAACGACGTATTTAGGTGTTTATATTGAGTACGTGTTCTTACTGCAAATTTGTATCATGAGTCCATCCATTAGGCCACAATTACAAAGAGCTCATTTGGATATACTTTCAAAATGATTGAAAACTCTTTTAGTGAAAATGTTTTTAGAACAAATCCTTAGTAAAAATGCAAGTAAACCTAAAAAAGCACTTAAAGTGCTTTCTGAAGGAATCACATAACTGATGCTTTTTGTAGAAAGCACTTTAAATGCCTTTAAAACCTAAAAAGATTTTTTCTAAAAACACTTTCAATCATTTTCAAATTACATTCAGACGAGCTCTTTATTTTTCTTTTGTGTGTTCCTTTTGCCATTCCGGGTAAGGCAAAGCCAATCTAAACCAAGTAGGGCAAAACAGGAATTCGAAAAAACCATTCCCAATTTCTTTGACCTAAATACCCCCTTTTTTTCTCAAAGCCCTCATACCTGTATTTCCCTTCTCAACCCTAAACATACACTGCCTCTTCTGCCCCTGTAATTCCCAATCTCTCTTCCTCTCCTTCTTGCCCTTCACGATTTTCTCCACAATTTACCCGCCAATTTCCTTCCACTCCGTCTTTTCAAATTGTCGTTGTTTTTTGCCCCTTTTTTCTTCTGCAACCTCTGTTTCTCTTCTTCCTGCAATTCCAAGACCTCGACTTTCGAGCTCGATCCGCCTTCTGCAGCTTCGGGATTTCGATTCTTGGTGTTTTGAGTAAAACCCAGTTCGTCTTTTTGTTGATTTGATCGATTTGATCGATTTTGAAGATGAGCTTGTGAATTTAATTGGCTGGAGCTAGGGTTTGGATAATTTCAGGTACCTTTTTGCTTGATTTACACTGTTGAGAGCTTTTATTTTGTGGGTTTTCTTTGATGGGTCTGTGTTGTTTGGAGTTTATTTCAATTTTTCGAAAGTTGATTAATATTTGAAAGTTTAATGAATATGATCGTTTATTTCTTGAGTGGCATTTTAATGGTAGTGTTATTTTGTGTTAAATTAGCTTGTTTTGCTGTTAATTTGGGATTAACGATTGGTCTGGTTGAAAGATTATTGCTTTGGCCTCACTGTCCATGATGATTTGTGAATGAGATAAATATGTTGATTCTGTGGTTACTGTTCTTGTATGAAGTAAGAGTTACTGTTCTGTGATTTGTGAATGAGATAAATATGTTGACTCTGTGGCTGGGAAAATGTTTCAAAGCAAGGGGGAGGGGAGTTCAATTATAGATTTTTTGATTATTTATGTTTCGGTTTGAAGAATGCAAGCTTGGTTTATATAATGTCCAGGGCATAGGTGAGATACCCGAGTGACGCTTGTGCTGTAAGAGATCTAGAATGTGAAAGGCTTAGTTAGACTTTTCGATTTCATTTGTTTTTATACTGTTCTCAGCAGAAGCAGAGGAGATACTTGGTTTGTCTGACTGGTTTAGATCTCCAATAGCCACGGTTGTATGTTTTAAATGTGTCGGGGTAAAATGTCGTGGCAATTTTTGGTTTGATGTAAATTTGGTATAAGCATCTGAAAGGTGGGTTGTTCAGTCTGGTATGTTGTGTTCATGAATCTGGCTTGGGTTGTGTGTATATATATTTTATGGTATTATTATGACAAATTGGTGCACCAACGTATAAATTTCTTCTACTTTCTTTGTCTTTTCAATTGCATTGCTTCTGATCACGGTTTAGGCATTTGTTTGTAGCTGTTACTTGCTTTGGAGGCATGCAGATTTGAGAAGTGAAAGAATGTGTTGAAATTGCTGACTGTTTGTCTTGCTAAGTGTGTTTTTCATATTTTCCATATTTATTGTATTATTTTCTTGTGTATGGAGATGTGTGCAGATTCAGAGTTGATGCTTGATGTGATAGAGGCATGTGAATCTTTACTGACCGTAGTTATATTGATTTGTAGACATGCTTTAGTACAGTTTGAAAGGCAGTGCTTCCAACTATAAATTGGTTGTTTCTTTGGGGGACTGTGGAGCTATTGCTGTCTTTGTTATACCTAATACAGCGGGTTTGACTTCTTTGATGGCTAACCACGATTTGATGCTTGGGCAAAGTCACAATTTAGCGCTTGGGCAGAATCAGCAAGTACTGGGCCACAATCATAACATAGGACTTGGGCAAAATCATGATTTTCAATTGGGACAGTCTAGTGAGCATCATTTGGGTTTGGGACAGGCCCATGACCATGACGTGGGTTTAGGGCACGCTGATCATGAATTGGGTTTAGGACAGAGCCATGACCAAGAAGGGGATGATGGTCACAGCTATGGGCATGATAACGAGTTAGGTGTGGATCAGAAACCTAATCATGATGACCATGAAATGGCTCTTCCTACTCAGAACCATAATATGGTCTTAGAGAACAATGAACTGGCCGTCTCAGAGGGCCAAGAACTTGATGAAAATATGGAACTGTCTATGGTTCAAAATAATGAAATGGGGATAGAATCTGCCCATGGTTTGAGTATCCAGGAATCTGATTTTGCACTCAGCCCCAGTCCTGTGATTCAGGCCCGTATGGCGCATGTAAATCCCAATTATGAATTGTCAGTGGGGCAAGAGTTCCCTGATGTCAAGAGCTGCCGGAGGGCACTAAGGGATACTGCTATTGCTTTACACTTTGAAATGCAGACTATTAAATCTGACAAGACTCGCTTCACTGCCAAATGTGCCACTGAGGGATGCCCATGGCGTATTCATGCTGCAAAGCTTCCTGGAGTTCCAACTTTCACAATCAGGACCATCATTGATAATCATACATGTGGAGGAATTTCTCATCTTGGCCATCAGCAAGCCTCAGTTCAATGGGTTGCAAATTCTGTGGAGCAACGGCTTAGAGAGAACCCTAATTACAAGCCAAAGGAGATACTGGAGGAGATTCACCGAGTTCATGGTATCACCTTATCATACAAGCAAGCTTGGCGAGGCAAGGAGCGTATCATGGCTGCAATGCGTGGTTCCTTTGAAGAAGGGTATCGCTTGCTTCCACAATATTGTGAACAGCTTAAACGGACAAACCCAGGGAGTATTGCATCCGTCTATGCATGCGTGGATGATAACAGCTTCCAACGCCTCTTCATATCATATCAGGCATCAATTTATGGTTTCCTGAATGCTTGTCGGCCCCTCCTTGGACTTGATAGGACATATTTGAAAAGTAAGTATCTGGGAACTTTGCTTCTTGCGACCGGTTTTGATGGTGATGGTGCTCTCTTTCCTCTGGCATTTGGGGTTGTTGATGAGGAGAATGATGATAACTGGATGTGGTTTCTTTCTGAACTTCATAATCTGCTTGAGATTAATACAGAAAATATGCCTAGGCTTACAATTTTGTCAGACAGGCAGAAGGGCATTGTAGATGGAGTTGAAGCAAACTTTCCCACTGCTTTTCATGGATTTTGCATGCGTCACTTGAGTGATAGCTTCCGCAAAGAGTTTAACAATACAATGCTTGTTAATCTTTTATGGGAGGCTGCTCAAGTTCTCACTGTTATAGAATTTGAAGCAAAAATTTTGGAGATTGAAGAGATATCACAAGATGCTGCATATTGGATTCGGCGAATTCCACCTCGCTTGTGGGCTACTGCTTATTTTGAGGGAACAAGATTTGGGCATTTGACAGCTAACGTAGTTGAATCTCTAAATGCTTGGATATTGGAGGCGTCGGGGCTTCCAATCATTCAGATGATGGAATACGTCAGAAGGCAGCTGATGACTTGGTTCAATGAGCGTCGAGAGATCAGTATGCAGTGGACATCGATTCTTGTGCCCAGTGCAGAGAGACGTGTTTTGGACGCTGAAGAGCGTGCACGCACTTATCAGGTCCTTCGTGCTAATGAGGCTGAATTTGAAGTTATATCCCATGAAGGGACGAACATAGTGGACATTCGAAACCGTTGCTGCCTTTGTCGGGCCTGGCAGCTTTATGGTTTGCCATGTGCACATGCCGTTGCAGCACTTAAATCGTGCAGGCAGCAAGTCAACCGATTTACAGAGAGCTGCTTCACAGTCACCACCTATCGGAAGACATACTCACAAACAATACATCCTATTCCAGACAAGTCCCTCTGGAAGGAGTTATCCGAGGGAGATCCAAATGGGAGCATGATTGTTGATGTTCTAATCAATCCACCTAAGTCCCTCCGCCCACCAGGACGGCCGAGAAAGAAGCGTGTCCGAGCAGAAGACCGTGGCCGTGTGAAGCGAGTGGTGCATTGTAGTCGGTGCAATCAAACCGGCCACTTTAGGACGACTTGTGCGGCCCCCATCTAGATTGTGTCACTGCTTGGAGATTAGTTGCTGCTGCTATACAATCTGAGTACGTCCCTCGTTTGTGCAAAGGAATTCTTGCTTTGTGATTATTTATGTAGTTTTTGTTAGTTAGTTCGGTAATTATATAGTGTATTTCGTGGAAGTTATATGGATATCCTGTCATAATATGAATGTTATTAACACCAATAATTTTCAACGTTGACGGTGATATCATGGTGTTTGTATCACTGGTTATACACTTTGAGATTTTGCCGTGCCAAAAGGGAGCAACAAGCCTTGGTGCAGTCCTAAATTTGTAGGGCCTGTTAGCACATGTTGGCTCGTATCCCAGTTCTCTTTTGCAGGGCTCGTATTAGTACGAGAGATTCTTGTGTGCAGATGCCTGTATAGGGCGGTAGACTTGAAGAGGTGGGTGAAATGTGTAGGGTTGGGTGTTACCAAATACGAGGATTTCCCTCTTTTTTGAGAAGGGATGGACCACTGACGTGGCACAAGGGACCAAATCCAAGAATTTCTCCTTGACTACGCCCAACTTAAAAATTTAAGAAAACTAAACAAAACGTGAAATACAAGACTGATAACAATCATGGTCCAAAGAACCTTTATTGTTATGTAATGTAACTTCTATGTTAATCTTAAGGAAGTCAGTTGGCTTAAAAAATGCCACCATTTTTCTCTAGGTCATAAACAATCAAGAAATTGGACTGAGCAAAGTTTCCATTAATACCATGATCCCAAGGGACACTTTGCATTGCAAAGTAAAAAATCTCGGCTCATTTCGAAAGAAATTTTAAAATGGTTGAAAGTGCTTTTAATGAAAATGTTTTTTAAATCTATTTTTAATAAAAATGTAAGTGAACCCTGACAAAACACTTAAAGTGCTTCCTACACGAATCACATAATCTTTTGGTGGAATGGATGCTTGTATTGGTGTTAAACTTCACATCAGCACCCTCAAAAGTGCACAATCAGTATTGGCCCTTTCAGATTATTCTTGCCCTTGGAGCAAAGCTGAGTTCCCAAACATGGATCAATTCCAATTGGGGTCATCGGAATCTGACTCCTCTTACTTCCGCCACCAAACAATCATAAAAATCTTGCGAATTAGGGTTGGAGGCGTGCCAGTGTCCATGAACATGTTGCCTTTTGAAACATTGCCTGAAGAACTAAAAGGCACACTAATCCCCTGTGGGCTTACAAAATATGGAGTCTTGTCTTCTTTGGTAACCAAAGGCGTCGAAACCACACCGTCACCAAATTTAGCGTTATGGAAGGAAGAATGGGAGGATCGGTATGAAACTACTGATTCTCTCAATTTAAAGTCGGCAGTATTTTCCCGAGAGTACTGGGTAAGAATCGGTAGCTTCCTACCAATCCTCCCATTCTTCAAAATATGGAGTCTTGTCATCTTCAAAGGCGTTGTAACCACACCGTCCCAATTACTTCACTATCTTTCCCAAGATTGAGGTAGGTTTATTGACACGCCCCGATCCCAATGTCCAGGGGATATCGGGATGGCCACGTACTGGCCGAGGACACCCGAGGGTAACGCAAGTCATTTAATGAATGCATATGCTGAGAACATGTGAAACATGCATGTAAATTTCGCACGAACTACACAATGTAATATTCCAACATAAACCTTATAAAATAATATTCAACTGCCAACAATGATAGTGATAGTGGTAATGCATGACATGTTCAGAGCATACATCTAATTCAAAATACAAACAGAAGGTGTTATTACAATGATGTCAAGCAGAAAGGATGACGAGATATCACTGATAGGGGAATGCCTCGTAGATCAGATCGTATGCCTCGTTCCTATGTCATGAGGGGGTGCAAAACAAACGTGAGTGGACCAAGTTGATATATATATATATATATAATACTAAATAGTTATCATCAACGTACTAACCCCCAAAGTTTTATGAAAACTCAATAGTATAATATGTAATAGGTTTTCCAAAAACCCTAGCATGCCATAAAACCTTCGTAAAACATATATCGTATACAGTGTGCTAAAAAGTGGTATCAGTATTGCCCGAAGGCATATAGAACTCTTCATTTAGAACACTTCATCCAGCACGAGCACGACCTCACTCACACCCATATGCAGGCCCACGCACGGCCTGGGTTCTGGGTTGGATCGGGTTTGGGCTTGGGCCTAAAAGGTTTCTAGGCTTGTCCTTGGGCTGAAGGCCCAAGCTTGCACTGCCCAATGGCCTGGGGTCACTTGGGTTTTGGGTTGGGCTTCGAAAGAGGATTAGGCTTGGGTTTAATGGGCCTAAGGCCCGAGTTGGACGGCCTAAAGCCTATGTTAAAATGGGGTTTGGGTTAAAAGTTTGGCCCAAAGATTTGGGTCAGTAATAATTGGGTTTTCGGGTTTGGGTCGAAACGACCCGGTTCTCAGGCTGGATTCACGAAGGAGGAAGTCGGAGCTTCCCAAGCTCCAATCGACCTCGTTTCTCCACCATAACCTACAAACTACCTACCAAAATGAAGATAAAAGAGTGTAAGTTAGAATGGTACCTTTGGTTTCCTAAGTAGTGGCCGGAGTTGGCCGGATTTTGGCTCGGAAGCCACGGGGCTCGCCGGAGGGTTTTCATGGGCTCTCTGTGCTTCACAGATGAGGAGGGAAAGAAAATACTAGGTGAGGTGATGGTGGGGGTGTTGTCGCCGTCGTGGTGTTCTCGATTTTTAGGGTGTGAAGGTGTGTGTCTAGATCGGGGAGAAGGAGAAAGAGTTTGATGAGAGAGAGAGTGTGAGTGAGTTGAGAGAGAGATTAGGGGAAAGAAGAGAGAAGGAGAGAAAAGGGATGAGGTGGTGCCATATGGCAAGGAGAGAGAGAGAGAAAGGGGAAGAGTTATAAAATAATGACTAAAAAATCTAAAAATAGAAGGGGAATTCGGATAGGGTAAGGGGGTAAGAGGCAAAAATGTCATTTCATAATTCCGTAAAAATGACAATATACAAACTTTGGGACGGGTTTCACATTTATGGTAATTGCCTTTTTCGCTAATACCCCCTGGGACATCGAACCGCCTCCAAACGCATAACTGTAACTGCAAGAGTGTTGAGGTGAACATCTGCCTGTGCTATTTGTATGGCACTCTCGTACTTCACGAGGTTTGTATGTTGAGGACTTTTTCGGTTTGAACTTCGGATTAATCTGCTTATAGTAGCCATGTATCACATGGTTCACATTGTGTCCACAAGAGATCACTACTGGTGTCAGTAATGCCATAAACATCGAACAGCAGATTTCCAATTGAGAGCTTCATAAGATACTGGTCATTATCTGACTTGTGGTTGTGCACTATATGGATAGATTATTGGTTCATATTGGAACGTCGACCAAAAGCTTTGTTTAATAAACTTGATCTGTTTGTACAACTGGATCCTGCATCGACATCTGATTTTTCGTTTCCACCTGCTTTGGTGGCTGTTGTATCACCTATCCCACCGTCCCAAGAAATCTGCTTTGCCCTATTCGGGCTACTACAGAATGAACCATCCCACTGGAGCAGATGAGTATGAACTGGATTCCATATAATCTCATTGATGGCGTTCCTGATCACGTTCAATATTTGTCCTGGGCTGCACTGATAGGGCTGCTTTGATGGAACGAATGGAGAAGGCGGACGAAGACAATATCCTAAGGAGACTTGATTATTACGTGCCTTATGTGTTTAAACCCAAAGAGGAGAAGAAGTTGTTTGCTGATACTGAAGTGCAACTATTGCTTCCATGAGAACCAAATCCGCTGCTTCAGTGAAATGTGGACAAGTTGGCGGATGAGATAATTGAATATGAGGATCGTTATCTGCAGACTGAAAGGATGCCTCCATGGCTTTTGTCCAGGAGGAAGTAGGCAACATGAGGAAGAGCCACAGGCAAAAAGTGGAAGGGATAAGTAAGGAAGCTGTTGGATAATGGCCAAATGACAAAACAACTTTCGGCTAAATAAAATAAACAAAAGGAGGTAGAAAATATCATTATGTTTGTTGAAAAGATAAAAAGGGTCATGATGATGTTTGTAGAAAAAAAGGTAAAGGCTAGCAAGTAGCCTTATTATTGGTTTTGTTTTTGGGTGCTTTTGGATGGATGAAGGTGTGCAGCCGAATGTGAGAGAAGGAAGAGAACACCATTTGTTTTAGCAACCCATCTTTGAGAGAGCAGCAGAGCAGCAGAACGAAGAAGACTGCCTCATCTCTCATTGAAAGAGAGCTCATCTCTTTGGTTAGTAATCATCCACCAAGGTAGTTGTTGTTGTAATAGCTTTGAACTTTGTATAGAGAGGAAATTATTCATTATATTTCTCTCTATTGGTTTCTTTGGTGTGTGAGAGTTATTGGGTGTATTGGGCCTTTGGGTTGTTAGCTTGCCAACACTTTGTAAATTCCCATTTGGTTGATGGTAAATTATTGGGTGAGCTCTTACTGCTCCGAGGACGTACTCCAGTTAAACTGATTGTTGAGGAACCTCGTTAAAATCTTGGTGTCTTTAATATTTTGTTCTTGCATTTCATTTGATATATTTCATGTGGGTTAGCTTGAGTTGGTTCCAATTGGTTTGGTATTATCCTAGCACAACAGAAGCTAAATGGGCAATTGCAAATATGGGGCTTTACAAGTAGGACAAACACCAGGCGCTCCTCAGTTCATAAAGTCCCAACAGATCAACAGGTACATCAAAAAACGCTCATGAGGTTCTGTGACCATTCATTTCGAAAATCCTCGCTTGGCTAGCTTACCAGCTTCTCTATGATTTGATTGCTAAATTCAAACAGTAACGTTCTAGGATTCATACAACCAACTCCACTTAGTGGGATAAGGTTTGGTTGTTGTTAACAAATTCTATCAAACTAATTATGACGTAACTGAGCAGCGAAGTACACAACAAAACATATCCATTAAACCAAAAACAGGTAAGGTTCAGAGAAAATTTGATCAAGCAAGCCTCCGGCACAAACTATAGTATATAAAAATACAACTGAGCGAAAGAAACTATTTCACAGCAACAAGAAGTTTATTCTCAACTTGGACTTCACATCAAATTATTCAGGGAGTACCAACATTTAATACCAGGATTTGTCAACCGGCCTTTTCTACCCAAATTCAAGGCTATCCAATTTCTCGTGTGTGCCCTCCTTTGAAATTCTCTTTCTGCTGCTTCCAATACTACTCGTCGTCTTTCTGATCTTAATTAGTCTTGACACGTTTAATGTACTCAATATGTCCCTGGTATGATCCTCATTCTTTTCAACATGTACATCATCTAATTTGGAGTTAGAACTTAGAGGCACTCCTATTCCCACCGCGAACATTCCTACTACTTTTGATCTTCATCTTTGCGAGATGAATGTATTCAGAAAATATATCATTGGTATCCAGTTCTGATTTCTGAGCTCTGACATGGGTTTTTGATCATCATTATCTTTCTTAGCTTTCTGAACTTGGGTTGATGGTGAAGGATTTGGAGTATGGAAGGCAGGGACACGGTTTTGTTGGCGGTGTGTGAAAGAAACCAGCTGGGAGAAACATATTGGGCTAAGGTTCTTCATAAAGTAGACTTTTCATATTTTTCTGAGTGATATGATGTTTGGGATCATATTCCCACACACAATGCGTCCTTATCTCCACAAATACAGAATCTAGCAAGCACATTAGACGTGATGAGATTTTAGATGCTTTCCAACAGTTTTACACAACATGTTGATACGTACGAATCTGCTAATTATGTGATGCTTACCGAACAACAACAACCAAGCCTAATCCTACTAAGTGAGGTCGACTGTATGAATCCTAGAATGTCAATGCGCTTGGTTTTGCGCAATATGTCTTCCATTAGTTCCAAGTCTTCTTAGGTTTTTTCTCTACCGCTTTTCCCTGAGCCTCTGTCTTATAGTCGAAGCTCAAAAATGTAATGATTCCACTAATTATAAATAAGTTGAAAGTTCGAAATAATGATTTACTTTGGGTGGAAAATTATTCTGGGAGAATCTTAAACTATCCTAAAGTCAAGAAGAATTCACTTTCTTCCTTGAAGTCAAGATGCTTCCTTTGGTGATGCTTCCCGGGTGCAGAACCAATGGTGCTGAAAAATAAGTCTCCTAGGTGGCATGAGCAGCTACAATGCTGGTGCCTTAACTTTAGAGGGCGTGTTACAGTGGCTTCTGTTAAAAATTTCCAGCTTGTGTTAACTGTTGATCGGTCCCGCAATGTTTCGGCTGAATAGCAAGAGAGGGTAATCCTACAGTTTGGAAAGATTGGAAAAGATGTCTTCACCTTGGATTGTCGCTACCCGCTATACTGTTTGCGTTTGCAATCTGCTTGAGCAGCTTCGACGCTACCAAACCAGCTTGTGAATGTAACACTTGGTTGTAGAACATGATTGTCAAGTGCCTTCGCCCATGAGCGGTAGGTCTCGGATTCGAGACTTGGGAGCAGCCTCTCCATAAATGGGGGTAAGGCTAGCCGACATTCACCTCTCCCAAACCCTGCGTAAAGCGGGAGCCTTGTGCACTTGGTACGATCTTTTATTCATGTTTTACGTACAAGTTCTTCATTCTCGATCATGTAATTCTGAAAATCACAGCTATTTCAATAAATTCAATTTTCTATCTAATACCAAATTGCCGACTAACAAAGATCTTGAATTAACAACTGTGGCTGAAAACTATAACGGTAAGGTGAAATCTCGAATACCTACATTTTAAATGACAATAATTTCTTTTAGGAAGAACCGAAACTACCAACGATGATACAGCTTAAGCATTCAAACAAACTAGGAACCATAGTATTTAGAACAGAAACTGAAATTGCAAGCAATGATACAGGTAAAGTATTCGAACAAACTAGGAAGATAATCACTGGAATCACCAACACATCCCTTATTAATCAAGAGTTTAAGCAGAATCATAGACATAAATATGGAAACTGTCATTGGAGATCGAGATCCTCTAAGCAAACTGTAAAGCACCCTTGTATATTTTCACTCTACCAATTATTCTTGTTTGAAGGAGATAACCTTTCTGCTTCCAATACTTGATGTCTTTCTGATCCTCATCTTCGCGCGATTTATATAATCTGAAAACGTATCTTTCACGTTGTCTTCATTCTTTGTATCATATCCATCATCTGTTGATCCAGAGGCAATATTTTCCATACCAACATTGGATACAGCTCTGATCTTAATTTTTGTGCGACTAATGTAGTCGGAAAATGCATCATTGTCACCCATATTTTCTGTCCCATTTTCTTTTGTAAGTTGTGCCTCTACTTTTGGATTTTTCTTCTCAACTTCTGAACTAGCACTGGTGTGACTCAGCTCAACAAGAACCTTTGTTGGCGGAGGCATCTTTTCCTTGGTCTTGCTTTCCTCCTGTGCGGCTGAAACATGAGCCATTGCTGCCATTTTACAAATTGGGCAAGGAGAACTGAAGATTTTCATGCAGAAACACTTGGATTTTGAGCTATGCTGACTCTTTGCCATTGTTTTTCAAGAAATTGAAATGAACAAGCTTGTCGTAAGTTTAGAAGATGAAGTAATGAGAAATGTCCAGAGCATGCATATGTATATAAGCCCTTGTGATCCTTGCTCGAAGACTAAAGATATATGCAGAAATGGATGGGAAAACTTTGGCTGAAATAGTCAAATTCCTCTCAAAGGAGTACTTCATGATTTCTTCAAATGAAGTGATGTGTGGGATCATATTCCCAGATTTCTTTACCCCTAATTAATGAAGTGGAATCCAGCAAGCGCAGCCAATTACAAGTTCCAAATTCTCTAGGCATTATATTGAACAGAAGACACCAGCTTTGTTCTGAATAAAATCAACTTAAAGATTTAGATTTAACGTGCCGAGACGGAAATCGTACAGCCCATAAAGTGAAATCTTGAATAACAAACAGAAGGAACCACCATATTATTTGGAGGAGCACAGAAATTACAAGTAAATGATACAGTAATTAAGCATAAAAACAAACTAGGAAGATAATCACTACAATCACACACAGCCCTTACTAAGTTTTTCACATCAAGACTTTAAGCATAGCCACTATCATTATTTTATACAAACGTTAAATCTCCCTTGTTTAATTGCACTCTCCTTAATTACTCTCGTTTGAAGGAGAAGATCTTTCTACTTCCAATGCTTTATGTCTTTCTGATCCTCATCTTCGTACGATTTATATAATTGGAAAATGCATCTTTTGAATCGTCTTCTTTCTTTGTATCATATCCATCATCTCTTGATCTGGACGCAATCTTCTCCATTCCAACGTTGGACATAGCTTGGATCCTAAGTCTTGCACGATTAATGTAGTCAGAAAATGCATCATTGTAACCCAGACTTATTGTCCTACTTGCTTTCGTAATTTGTGGCACTAGTTTGGACTTTTGCTTCTTAACTTTTGAACTAGCCTTGGCATGACTGAGCTCAGCAAGAACCTTCGTTGGTGGAGTCATATTTGCTTTATTCACGTTTTTCTCCAGCTTTGAAGCATGAATTGGTGCTGCTGCTAATTTGCAAATGGGGCAGGGAGAACTGAAGATGTGCTTGCACAAACACTTGGAGTTTGAGCTATGCTGACTCTTGCCCATTTGGTTTTTAGGAGACGAAATAATTTGATAGCTTAATGAAGAATGGCAGGAGAAGTATTTTTCGCTGGCTTTAATGGAAAGATGAGAGACCTTGAGCTTATTTGTAAGATGGGTGGAGAAGTTAGGTATCTTGGGAACATATTGTTGCGATCCTTGCTCGAAAACTAAAAATATATGCAGAAATAATGAAGGGGAAACTTTGTCTAAAATATTAAAAAATTCTTCATCAAGGAGATCTATTTTATTTTTTTAAATGAATTAGTGATATATGGGATCGTATTCCCACTTGTTTTACCCCTAATTTCTTTAAGTGGAAGGGCACCCTATTACTACTGGTTTCCAAATTCTGTAGGCATTATTTGTAAACAAGCTAGAATATTTAGATGTTTTATCATCTGAATGGAATCCGGCAAAATCTGTAGCTTAGCTGGATTTATTTTATGTTCTTTCGTTCAATAAGCGTGCACAAAAATGGAGATGCATACGTAGTTCAAAGATGAATTTGTTTAAACACTAGCCCAGTTACAGTACATTTTCCTGAGGATGGTATTGGAGGAAATGTATATATGTTGCACCAAGCTGTAGCTTTTATTACACTGGGTTGGTTTTTGCAATCATAATCAAGTCTTTCCTTTTATCCAAAACTTATCATCTGATTCCTTCCTTTTTGAAGTTAATAAAAGTCATGACCACTTTTCGGAAGTCTTTAACTTCAGTTACATTTTCCCGCATCACATGATTTCTACGCATATTGAAGATCCCGAAGGGAATAAACAGACTAGTTCTTTCTTTTTCACGTCATTACTTTGAGTTTTTGTTTTTTTGTTTTTGTATGTTAGAAATTAAATTGAGCAAGCTTGTATGCTAAGTTTAGGAGATGAAGTAATGAGAAATCTCGAGAGCATGTTCTTGCGATCCTTGCTCGAAAACTGAAAAATATATACAGAAATGAAGGGAAAACCACTTTGGCTGAATAGTAAAAAATTACTCGTAAAGGAGCGATTTCTTCAATTGAAGTGGTGTATGGGAATCATATTCCCAGCTTCTTAGCCAGAAACTCTTCATAAAAGTAGGATCCAGCAAGCGCGTACAAACCAGAATATTATTTAGATGTTTTATTGCCTGAATGGAGTCAACCCTACATATGTAGCTTAGGTTGGATTTGTTTTATATTATCTCGGTCCCCAATTAGCGCGTACAAAAATAGAGATGCAGTGTTGGAAGTTCAAATCAAATACAGTGGCCGAAATTGGTGGAACACTTTTCCGAAATTGGTGTAATACTTTTTAGAAATTGTTGAAACACTTTTCAGAAAGTGGTGGAACAGTTTTTAGCTAGTATGTTGTTTTTTCAGGTTGTTCACCTACAACTACAAACATCATTGCTCCCTCTATCTGTCAGTCGAAAGGTGATTACAAGACAGCAGTGTGCTACCATGTGATAGCTGAACTGCTTTTAGGAAAGCTAACATGTTGTATTTGTTTATTAAAAGCACTTGAGTGGTTCATCACTTTTTGCATGTATAACTAAGCCTCTTGTAAGGCTTTAGGACATTACATCAGAATCCCATTTCCATTTCAGCTTGTAAGCAATTGAGTTTGTAAACTCTTATTAAATATATCAAAATGTTTTGCTTGTTTTCCGTGCAGTTTGTCCAACACAAAAGCTTGCTTCTTCATTTACTTCTTTATTTCCTTGTCCAATTGTATTGAGAGTGATAGTGAAATGTGTGATAAAGTTAGAAAAACTTATTACCCACATATTTTTGGTATTGAGTTAGTAATCTTTGAATACCAACATGCAGAAGCACTTCATGGTTGAGCTCTTTCCAAACATCTATCTTTGCTTAGCTAGCCATGCAAAGGAGTCTCGCCTTTTAAATTATAGCCTTTCGAAGAGGTAAAGAAACAGATGCCAATTGTCAAGGACTTGGCGAAAAATTACCTGTCTGAAGCTTGCTGCAATGCATATAAATCACTATTAAGAAGTATCTCTCCACTTCAGTGAAGAAATGCAGTCGCATTTTCCTGAATCATATGATTTATATGCATATTAAAGTTCCCTAATTAAGTGGGTAAACTGATGAGATCTTTTTACATTCTAACTCACCGTTACCTGCATTCACTAAGATTGCTAGAAAATAGTAGATTTATAATAGCACATGAGCTTTAGAAACATATGAAAAAAGAATGATTTAATATTATTGACTGAGAAATACGTACATGACAATTCAACAACATCACATAACTTGTTTATTCCGGGAGGTAAATATGAGAAAGAATTAAAGAGGGAGAACACAATCCATGAACATGATTGCAATCACCACCACACACATGTGGTTGTAGAATTTGAGTCTCCTATTTCTTAAAGGAGATGTTGTTTCTGCTTCCGATGCTGGATGTCTTTCTAATCTTAAACTTAGAGCGATTGACAAAATCCGTAAACATTTCATATCCATTATCGTCTTGCTTTGTTTCATAAACACCATCTGCTATGGATGCAACCTTCTCGAGACCAGCATTGGAGGTCGTAGCTCTGATCTTATATTTTGTGCGGTTAATGTAGTCAGAAAATGCATCATTGTCTTCCATTCTCATCTCTACCTCGTGCACTTGTGCCGTTCTAGTCTGCGCAGCTTCAGCTCCAGACACATCGGTTAGTTTGACCTGGATATTATTCGAATAGCGAGTATGATCATGGCTCGGAAGTGAAGTGTTTGGAGCAGTAGAGGCGGGAAATTCGAATTGCTTGCGGCGTGCTTGCTGTTTTGCTTGACTATTTCCCATTGATATATGTAAGAAATTCGAAAAACTGAGCAAGTTTTGGAAATATGAGTGACGGAACTACAGAGAAATAACCGATTAGTGCGGGAAAAGATGTGGTGACTAAAGACAATTTCCAAGGTTAAGTTGTAATTGAAAGCTAGAGAGGTCGATATTTATAGTCTGCATGAATGAAAGTTTAAGGAGAAAGTTCCTTGTGTGGAAAGTAATTGATTTTTCTGCAGAATTGAAGGGAGAAGTTTGGCTTAGATTCCTAATGAAGGAAGAACTTTCTCAATATTTTTTTCTAAAGAATGTGATGTTTCGAAAATATTCCCACGTTATTTCGGCTCCAATTTTCTAAGGTTTTGAAATTAAATCCTGCTTTAAACACAACTAATTAATACAGCACTAAGCCACTAGCAAAGTAGCAATTGAAAAGGATTATGTAATTAATATCTTGGCCAGCTATTTATTAAAATTATATCAAAGCTTAATTAATTAATTAATTTCCAAAAGCAATGAAAAGTTGATGCAGGAAAGATAGAGAATCTTGGATGGTAGTTGAAAAATGAAACTTTGGCACATGGAGAAACCCTCGCTCTTCCAAATTGGCGACCTTGGATATTAATAATCCATTGTTTAATAGTTCAAAATCTTAAACAAGCAGGATGGATTTCTGGTGGGAAACAACCAAACGATTCAATGTATTCATCTGCTAAATCACACAAAGAAAATTGTGGTGATGTTCAAGATGACGGAAGTCCTATGGCTATGTTATATGATCCCTGCTATTATTTTATTTTATTGGATTTTTCTTTTTTTCCAATTTGAATTTAATAAAAAAATACTTATGGGTTATTTTATTAATAGCATGGTTTATTACATGTTGGCTAAATTACACTCTATCTTTTCAGGTTTGGGGTCTATTGCAACCTTATACAACATCTTTAAAATATTTCACTCTCACACATCATGTACTGTTTTATTTCAATATAATACATCCATTAGGTTTTCCATCCAATCCTCCATTAAAAGTTGACATGACAGTAGACATCATGCTGCCACGTTAGCTTTTAATGGAGGATTGGATGAAAATCTAATGGAGGTATTATATTGAAATAAAAT